TCATTTGGTTGCAATGTTTCACTGGAGAGTCACTACCTAATTACTCCTTGTGTACAGTGGTCTAAATGGGCACATTCTGAAGGTAATTGAGGAGTAATGCTGCTAATGTTCTCTATAATATAAAACACTTGACTCCTTTCCTTGGGGACAGGCCAAGTTTGTGAAGGTCAGGAGAAGATGACAAACGTTGACTGGCTCTCGCCTTTTTTATTTAGAAGAACATTAGCTATAATTTACAAAGTGTGAGGTTTGACGTATGATACAGATCATAGAGGGGTCAATAACAAGGGGCCACAGATTTAAGGTCAAGGGTAGGAAATTTTGGGATTTGAAGAAAATATTTTTCACCCAGAGGGTGGTGAGTGTCTGGAACTCACTGAGGAAAGGGTGTTAGAGACAGGAACCCTCAAGACATTGAAGTAGTATTTAGATAAGCACTTGATATGCCATAGCTATCAGCCAAGAGCAGGGGAATAGAAGAGATGGTTGCGCGATGATCCTGAGCAGACATGATGGGCCAAAGGGCCTCTATCCATGCTGTTAATAACTCTACTCCATATCTCTATGATGCCCCATCTACCTTTACAAGTGGACATTAAAAAATTCCAAAACAGCTTCTCCTCAATATCACTACAACAGCAGGATGAGAATGACGTCACTGTCCTTGTGAGTTGGCTTTACACCAACTGGCTGCAACATTTCCCTACGTTACAACATTTAGAATATCATAGAATCCCTACAGTGTGGAAACAGGCCCTTTGGCCCAAAAAGTCCACACCGACCCTTACAGCATCCCACCCAGACCCATTCCCCCTATATCCCACCTAATCTACAAATCCCTGAACACTATGGGCAATTTAGCATGGCCAACCCACCTAGCCTGCACATCTTTAGACTGTGGGAGGAAACCCACGCAGACACAGGGAGAATATGCAAACTCCACACAGTCGCCCGAGGGTGGAATCAAACCCAGGTCCCTGGCGCTGTGAGGCAGCAGTGCTAACCACTGAGCCACCGTGCTGCCCATTTGGGCGTAAAGTGCTTTCAGATGTCCAGAAAGGTGGTATTCAAATGCAAATATCTTTTTCTCAGCCAGTTATGGTGATTATTTACAACAACAGTTGAGTTGTGAATAATGTGTGACAGAGAAGGTGTAATGGGGATCAGTGCAACAGCCACAGGAAGAGTTGGTCTCACAGAATGCTTTAAATGTATCCTGGGGAATGCTAAAATATTACTTTTCAACAAGGCGGTCAGGTTTTTGTTTAGAGATAATGGGATCGTTCACAGCCACCAAATTCTGGTCAGCATCATATTCTGAGAGATCACATTCCTTGCGAGGGGGAGGCAATGGCCTAGTGGTGTTATTGCTGGACTGTTAACCCAGAGACCCAAAGAATGTCCCCAGGACCCGAGTTCAAAAATTGCCACAGCAGATGGTGCTATTTGAATCCAATTAAAAATATGAAATTAAGAGTCTAATGATGACCATGAATCCATTGCTGATTGTCAGGAAAAACCCATCTGGTTCACTAATGTCCTTTAGGGAGGGAAACTGCCATCCTTACCTGGTGTGGCCTACATGTGAATCCAGACCCACAGCAATGTGGTTGGCCCCTAACAATTAGGGATGGGCAATAAACACTGGCCTAGCCCTCATCCCATTAATGAACAAAGAAAATAAACTCCTAACAGGACAACACACCCTCAGCACCACACTGAGAACATCAGCTCATTCACAAGCAAAATTTGAACCCACAACCTTATGACTCAGAGACCTGAGTAGTTTCCACTGAGCCACAACTGGCCCCTGCAGCTAACTGGTCCCTGGCCCAAGCCTTATATTTCTTACTCCGAAACTGACAGCCAGTGGCCTGAAATGGACACCAGCTAGTCTGACCTGTGAAATAACTAGGAACTCAGCAGCCAGCAGGAATAGGCCATTCAGCCCTTCAAGCCTGCTACTGGATCTGGTTGTGGTCTGAGCTCCACTTCCCTCCCACATTAACTTTTTGATTCTCTCATCTCTCAAAACAAATCTAACACAGCCTTGAATAATTTTAAAGTCCCAGCCACCACTACATTTTGCGGAGGAAATTTCCGCAGACTAACATCACTCGAAGAAAAAAGTTTCTCATCGGTGTATCAAAAGAGGGACCTCCTTTTTTTAATGCTACACTTGTTCTTCCTTGCCTGTCTGTATAACTATATGTTTTTAAACATTCAGATGCACACAATCCAAACTGGGAATAAATGCTCTCGCAAAGTTTCCATGAATATTGGCAAAAGTCTGGTATTACTGCTCACAATAAATCAGGGGATGCTTTGCTCAATAACAGTAAAATATGTAGCACTATGCATCTGGAATAATTGAACCACATCTAATTTATCTGAAGTTGGGCAAAACCTGGCTGATTTCAAGTGTAAGTAAGAGATGTGTTTTACAGAGGAGATATTAAACTGAGGCCTCTCTCAGGCAGACGAGAAACAGCCCACAGTCCCACATTTCATAGGTAACCGGGGAGTCTACCTGCCCAATCCCTCTGACAGATTATCTGGCCATTATCACATAGTTGCTTCTGGGATCTTGCTGTACACAAAATGGTTGCCACTTTGCCTCCATTACAACAGGCGAGGACACTTCAGAAGGGTTCTACAAAGGTCGGAGAGGGGTTTAGAAATGCAACACTCCCTTCTTTCTCTTCAAAGACAGTCAAGAGGTTGCAGACATTGTGGCTCCAGTCATTTCCGACAAAGTGCCTGGCTGTACATTCTAAACCACCTTTATTTCTTTTTCATGTTTCACCCACGCGCAACTTAGAAATTAGTACATGACACCAAACACGTGAGAGACTAGTACTAACTCCATAAATTGCAACTGCTTGTTGCTTGATATCCCACACCATGGATTTAACATAGTGCATATCTATATTAATAAAAAACTTTAGGAACTGCAGTTGCTGGAAATCAGGAACAAATATAGAATTTGCTGGGAAAGTTCATCAGGTCTGGCAGCATCTTGTGGATAGAAAGCAGAGTTAACATTTCGGGCCCAGTGACCTTTCTTCGGAAAACGTTAACTCTGCTTTCTCTCTGCAAATGCTGACAGACCTGCTGTGCTTTTCCAGCAATTTTCGCTTTTGTATGTATATATTACAATGACAGAGGTTCACTCTACATTTTACATTCATCCCCACTGTCATACGAGTAGACGATCGTGCAATCTCTGTATTTTATGAGGCTCCTACCAACACAGTCTGTCATAATGCATGACAATGTTCGCTACCCAGCTGTCACGACAGACCCGAGAGAGAACTGGCCACTGCCTTCCATCGTCCTTACTGGGGGAAAGCGGTCAGTGCAGATGAGGAGGATTGCAAAGTTAGCCTCAATCTCTGGGCGATTATATCTCTTTGTAAATCGTCGGGCCCACACGGAAATATTTGCATGAAAAAAAAACGACATGCTCACTTTAAAATATTTTGGTATTGACAAAGGGGCAACATTTTGCTGCTGTATCCCATGGACAGACGCGCCACAGTATGTGACAGAGTATGTAATAACGTATATCCAACTGACAGATACACCACAACGTGTGATATAGTATATCATACAAAAATATCCCAATGAGAGAGACAAATATATAACACTCTAAATGCCAATGACGGTATGTTTATAGTCTCCATAATACCTTATATTCCTCAGAGATACAGCAGGGTATGTTTATAATCTATACAATAGTCTTAATCCCACTGAGCAAAGCAGCAGCATAAAATTGTATAATGTATATAATTCCCTGTTACCCCTCTGACTGATAAAGGATGGTATGTTTTATAGATGGACTGGCAGACCCCTGCAGTCCCCACTTTTGTCTCTAAGTAGCTGGTATTTCGCCTTATTGCTCCTGAGAATATCTGCGGATTCCCTGGTTTCTTCAAACTGCATCTCACTTCCCCGTGGCTGAGCCCTTCCTTCCCTGTGTCCATTTCTTTGCAATCTAATGCAGCACCTCGAAGCATTGCCTTCCCCCCCGGTCTCTCGCCCCGCTGCAATCAAGTTCCAATGGATGCTCACAAGCCATAACAGGCTGTCCCACTCCGGGGGAAGGAGGCAGGGCTGGAATAGTGTTGCAGCCTGTACTTTCCACTGGCTCACAAAAAAACCACACCGATTTTAATAAAGTGGGGGCGGGGGGAACCAGCCATCCACTTCCCTGCACTAACTTGAGAGATGGTTTAAAGGAGTATTTCCCCTCTCTGCTCCCCCAACAAGCTACAATCTAATTTCCAGTACTTCATTTATATCTGAATCTCCTCTTAACCAGATTAAACAGAGGAAGGGCTGCATCGAATTTATTTTGCTATTAGAAATTACAAATCCTTTCTTTTTAAGCTGGACGCAATATTTAACACATTATAAAATTACATTTTCAGATGTTGCATCCCCTCCCAAAAAGAAAATGTGAAGCGTAACATAAATCACAGCCTTTCAAACTTCTCTGAAATAAAATTGAATGTTTTAAAATCTCCCCCTTTATGTTATCCCAAAAGGCTGAAGGTGGGAGGGGGACAGACTGTCACAGCATCTGGTACCTCACATTTGGAAAGAAAAGTGGGGGATGGAGGAACGAGAGGGGAGAAATGGGCAGGTTCGAGAGCTGGGAGTGACAACAAAAATCCCTTGTTTTTTTTTGTTCCATTTTGTGATCACTCCCAGGAATTAAATACAGTGAATACATCACCGTGCTGTCTGCAAGTCGGCAGCCCCTAACCCGCCCTGTGTGTAGGAAAATAATACCTTACGACGCAGCTACAAAATAAGAGCTTTCTGTGCAAAAAAAAATAGATTCATTGATTTTTCACTCCACCACCCTTAAGCCCCCCTCCCCCTCTTGTGGCTCCATGCATCCCAGACAAAACTGTTTGCAATCCTGCATTGAAACAGATACAGCATCATCATGGACACAAGCATCAAACAGACTCAATAAAATGGTTTCAAACCTGTCTGCCCTTTTCCCAGTGTCTTCTCTAGACGGTATGGCCCCACATACTGTGCACAGCCGCCTTCCTTTGTGGATGTAGTCATTGTGTCGGCTTTATCCCCTTCCTCCTCTCAGTCTTGTTTTATTTTGAGATTTGAAGAGGAGCACTGTCCTCCCTTTTGTTCAATTTCTTGTTTTCTCCCCCCACCCCCCCAACACAACTTTGCCTTCACCTCCCCCAGCCCTCCCCAAGACCCTTGGGTTTGCAAGACAAGAGATGGAGGTTGTCTTAAGATCCTGGTACCAGCATTATACTCTCCTCTCTCTCTCTCCTCTCCACTGCTCCCCCTCTCTGTCAATCCAGCCTCAGCTCTAAACTAATCCTGCAACCTGCTTCTTTTTTTTAATTAAGCTTCCATCCGGGAACCCTCAAACACAACCAGTCCCTATTTAACCCTCTGCTTCGCCGGAGCCTACTAGAACGGAAGTGAAAATATACCTCTGAGGGGAGAACTGGTGTTGGAAATAGGATAAAGAAATGTTCTCACTTGGAATGTGTCACCCTTTCAGTTATTTCTACACGTGTTGGCACCTGAATCAATTTTTAAGGCATCACAGAATTTTTACAGTACAGAAGGGAGGCCTTTTGACCCATCGAATCAGTACTAACTCTTCAAATAGACAATTTACCTTGTGCCATTTCCTTCACATCCCTTTAAATTAATACAAAGTGGATCAAATACCAGTCGTGGTCCATTAAACAGACTCATTGTATCTCACCATTACTTTTTTCTCAAATTCTCGACATATCACGCTGTGTTTGCAGTTATGGATTCATATATCCTCTGTGCCTTGAGTTCACATGATGACGGTAGCTACCCATATGTATGCAGGTGGCACGGTGGCTCAGTGGTTAGCACTGCTGCCTCACAGCGCCAGGGACCCGGGTGCGATTCCACCTTCAGGTGACTGTCTGTGTGGAGTTTGCACATTCTCCCGGTGTCTGTGCAGGTTTCCTCTAGTTTCCTCCCACAGTCCAAAGATGTGCCGGTTAGGGTGGATTCACAATGCAAAATTGGCCCATAGTGTCTACAAATGTGCAGGTTGGGTGGGTTAGCCATGGGAAATGCAGGGGTACAGAGATGGGGGTGGGTCTGGATGGGATGCTCTTCGGAGGGTCAGTGCAGGGATTCTATAAAGTACTGGGATACTGTAGCATTCTTGCTGTAGCTATGTCAGAAAAGGGCTTAGGCTAAACTCATTCCATCTATCTGAGCAGATAACCCAGGCTAATACTTTAGTGCAGAGCTGAGGCAGTGCTGAAGTGTCGGTTTCTGAAAATCTTGGAACTCGCTCACAACTTTATGAATGTAAATTGGCAAGAAATATACAAACAAATGGCAGAGCTTCTATAGGTATATTAAAAAGAGGGAGTAGCTAAAGTAAGTGTGGAACCCTTGAAGAATGCAACTGGAGAATTACTAACAGCGAATAAGTAAGAAGGGTGAACCAATAATTTCCATTGGTTTTCACAATGAGGACATTAAAAAAATCCCAAAGATGTCACATGAGACTGGGGGGGGTCCAGGGTGGTGCGGTGGCATTGATTCACCTGTCCTCACTTCCCCACATCCTCACTCCTCCTATCCCCGCCTTACAACAGTCCACGCCTCATGAGCCCACATCTTCACCTTCCATCCTTACTTACCCTGCCCTCATTCACCCACCCTCATACTCCCTCACCTCACACCCCAGACCTCACTTCCCCCTGCCCTCTCTACTCCCCTCAATTCTCCCTTCGCATCACTCCCCCCTGTCCTCACATCACCCCATTCTTACTAACCCCCTCCCTCCCATCCCCCCCCCATCTCCCTTTGCCCTCGCTCCCCATGCTCACTGTACCCCCATCACTTTCCCTCTTCACTCCCCCACCTCACTCCCCTTCTGAACTCTACTTCTGTCGGGGGTTCTTTCGTTGTGCCTATGCAATCTGTTGTGCGCGATACCATTGGAATGATCCATGGAGATGGAGCGTGGCAGGAATGGGCCTCATGCTGGGGGTCAGCAGAAATTAGATTTCTGGAGGCCATTCAATAAGGTGCCATAGAAAAAAGTGATTGCCCAAGATAACCCCACGACATTGAGGGAGTCGTGTATTAGCCTGGACTGAGGATTTGTGAATACACAAGAGATTTAGTGGTTCTTTTTCAGGCTGGAAACAGATAATGGGAGGAATGTCACAAGGGTCAGCCCTAGCACCTTAATTATTTCCTATCAATAGTCGTGACTTGGAACAAGGAGCAAACTGTAGTTGCTGATGATACAAATAATAGGTGGGGGGTAACATTGAGATGAGGACATTATGCAACCCAACCTCCCATCCACGGACTCCATCTACATTTCTTGCTGCTGAGGAAAGGGTGCCAACATCAAAGACGCCCTCCCACATCAGTAATACTCTCTTCCAGCCTTTTCTGTCAGGCAAAAGATACAGAAACTCAAATACATGCATCAACAGATTCAAGAACAGCTTCTTCCCCGCTGTTATTAGACTTCTGAATGGGCCTCTCAAATTTTAAATGTAATGTTGATCTTGCTCTGTGCACCTCCTGCGCAGCTGTAACACTCTGTCTAAGCACCCTATGATCTGTACATCCTTGTATGTTATGACCTGCCTGTACTGCTGGCAAAACAAAAAAATGTTCACTGTACTTAGGCACATGTGACAACAATAAGTCAAATCAAATCAAACATTAGGAATCTGCAAGAGAGGTTACAAATGGACAAAAAAATGGTGGGGATTAATGTAGTAAAGTGTGAGATCATGCACTTTAGTTGGAGTTAGCATGGAGGTGCAGCAAGTAATTAACAAGGCAAGTGGAATTTTGGCCTTTATTGCTCAGTTTAAAAATAGGGACATCTTGTCACAAATTATAGAGTGTGTTGATAGGGCCCCTTGGAGTGTTGTGTACAGCTTTGATTCCTGTATTTAAGAAAGAATATGCTTACATTAGAGGCAGTTCCAAAGAGATTCAATAGGCTGATTCCCAGGATGAAGGGATTGCCTTATTAAGAACAGCTAAACAGGTTAGGCTTTTATACATTACAGTTGAGAAGAATGGGGGGGTGATCTTATTGAAACAGACAAGACTCTGAGGGGGATTAACAGGGTAAATGTTGAGAAGATGTGGGGGAAATGTTAGGGGGACACAGAATAAACGGGACACTCATTTCAAACTGGGATGTGAAGGAATTTCTTCTCCCAGAGGGAAGTGAATGTCTGGGATTCCCTACCCCAAAGAGCCGTGGAGGCTAGATCACTGTAAATATTTAAAGAGGAGGTAGATAGGTTTTTGAAATATTGGTGAGTTGAGGGTTTTGGGATACTGGCAGGAGAGAGAAGATGAAGCCTAGGGCAGATCAGCTATCATCCTATTACAAGCAAGGAACAAGGAATGAGAGTAGGCCACTCGGCCCTTCGAGCCTGTTCTGCCATTCAGTAAAATCATGGCTGATTTGATTTTAATCTCAACTCTACATTCCTGCAAAGCCCCTGATAATCTTTCATCCCCATGGTCATCAAGAATCTACCTCCCTCTGCCTTAAAAATATTTAAACGTTCTGCATCTGCTGCCTTTTGAGGAAGGAAGTTCCAAAAATTCACAACCTCTGAGTCAGAGATATACAGCTTGGAAACAGACCCTTCAGTCTAACTTGTTCATGCTGACCAGATATCCTAAGTTAATCTAGTTCCATTTCCCAGCATTCGGCCCATTTCCCTCTAAACCCTTCCTACTCATATACCCATCCAGATGCCTTTTAAATGTTGTAATTGTATCAGCCTCCATCACTTCCTCTAGCAGCTCATTCCATACACACACCACCTCCATGTGAAAAAGTTGCCCCTTAGGTCCCCTCTCACCTTAAACCCATGCCCTCTAGTTTTGGACTCCCCTACCCTGGGGAGAAGGACCTTGGCTATTCACTCTATCCATGCCCCTCATGATTTTATAAACCTCTATAAAGGTCACCCCTCAGCCTCTGACATTCCAGGGAAAATAGCCCCAGCCTATTCAGCCTCTCCCTATAGCGCAGATTCTCCAACCCCAGCAACATCCTTGTAAATATTTTCTGATCCCTTTCAAGTTTCACAGCATCCTTCCTATAGTAGGGAGACCAGAACTGAACGCAACATTCCAAAAGTGGCCTCACCGATGTCCTGTACAGCTGCAACATGACCTCCCGACTCCTATACTCAATGCACTGACCAATAAAGGCAAGTGTACCAAATGAGAAAAGAATGTTTCCTCATCTCGGGTTTTAAATGAGTGACACCTCATTTTACACAAGGACACACAGTTCAATGTCTTTAGCAACCACCAGGTGAAGTCCCCTCAGGATCTAACATGTTTCAATTAAATCACCTCTGACTCTTCAATACTCCGGAGGATACAGGTCTGATCTGTCTAGCTCTTCCTTATAAGGCAATTGGCTCATTGTCTCATCCGCTTACTGCATGTCGGGACAGGCCTGAGGGGCTGAATGGCCTACTCTTGCTCCTATTTCTTATATTCTTGTTCTCAAGGGATAGGTAATACATTCTTGCCAACAGCTCTCACAGTCCACGAATGCATGAAAAAAAATTGCCCATTGAGGAAGTTTTGAGGAAGGGTCACCAGACCCGAAACATTAACTCTGACTTTTTTTTCACAGATGCTGCCAGACCTGCTGAGCTTTTCTAGCAACTTCTGTTAGAGTCCCAGTGTTTTCTTTTGGGCAAGGTGTGAAATGGACTGCCCTCTCAGTGGGTGCATTTCAGGCAAGAACACTTACTGTACCTTGTGTGTCCTGGCCAACACCGAAAATAAATGATCACGTCGCTGTTTGTGGGAGCTTGCTCTGCGCAAAACAGCTGCCACATTTCCTACATTGCAAGGGCTTCAGCAATTGAAATTGGTTCAAGGTTGTGAAAGAGGCCATAAAAATACTAGATTTTTCTTGCTGAAACTCTTATTGACTTAGTCAGTTGTTGCTGCTTCTCAATTTAATGGCGGTGATGTTGGGCAACAGGGGTCTTTGCACTTAACGCCTGCTTATCACAAAA